GAGACAGACAGAGAGAGATCTCAGAGACAGAGAGTAGAGAGACAGAGAGAGACAGAGAGACAGAGAGACAGAGAGACAGAGAGACAGAGAGACAGACAGAGAGACAGAGAGACAGAGAGACAGAGAGAGAGACAGAGAGAGGGAGAGAGAGAGAGAGAGAGAGAGAGAGAGAGAGAGAGAGAGAGAGAGAGAGAGAGAGAGAGAGAGAGAGAGAGAGAGAGAGAGAGAGAGAGAGAGAGAGAGAGAGAGAGAGAGAGAGAGAGAGAGAGAGAAAGACAGACAGAGAGACAGATAGTGTGTGTGTGTGTGTGTGTGTGTGTGTGTGTGTGTGTGTGTGTGTTTGTGTGTGTGTGTGTGTGTGTGTGTGTGTGTGTGTGTGTGTGTGTGTGAGAGAGAGAGAGGGGGGGGGGGGGAGAATATTATCACATCTAGCAAGTCAGATGATAATATCTTCTCCATTAGCGATCTTTAAAGGGGAAGTTAAGGCAAAAATTAAAATTTCACCAGTTGTAGTCTTCGGGGTGCTGAGTCGAATGGTCGTGGTCCGAGGAAGCTGAGACGCTCCCTTCCTACTTGAACCCCAATCGAACTCGCGCACTTCCACCGAAACTGGGTGACTGCGCCCTACTAGATGGGGATGTGTATGCAAAATGTCACTAAAAGCGCCATTTCGTTCTTATAAAAGCACGGATGACCGCGATTGGCCCATATGTTGTAGTCTTTTGGACGCTGAGTCGACTGGTTTTGGTCCGAAAAGGCTGCGATGCAGCGTTCCTCCTTTATTCCCAATCGAACATGGTTGAACAAGCGGTCACGTGCTCCTGCGTACACCAGTCACCTGGTCACCGTGCCTGCAGGGTACAACTTACTAGCCTGTTTGACCTTTTTTGGGTGCAGTCCTGTCACTCGAGTTGAACTCGAGTTGAACCTTGGTGTGAAAGTTGTCGCCTGCTGGCGTGGTGACCAGGTGATTTGGGCACCCAGGAGCACGTGACCGCTTCTTCAACCATGTTCGATTGGGAATAAAGGAGGAACGCTGCATCGCAGCCTTTTCGGACCAAAACCAGTCGACTCAGCGTCCAAAAGACTACAACATATGGGCCAATCGCGGTCATCCGTGCTTTTATAAGAACGAAATGGCGCTTTTAGTGATATTTTGCATACAAATCCCCATCTAGTAGGGCGCAGTCACCCAGTTTCGGTGGAAGTGCGCGAGTTCGATTGGGATTCAAGTAGGAAGGGAGCGTCTCAGCTTTCTCGGACCAAGACCATTCGACTCGGCACCCCGAAGACTACAACTGGTGAAATTTTAATTTTTGCCTTAACTTCCTCTTTAATATTTGTTTTTCATCCCACTTGCCCCTAGCTGCGTACGCGTGGCTTTTAAAACTGGCGTCTTCACAGCAAGTACTTTTCTTTCCAGTAGTGTCTGTCATCACGGATCACAGCTTGGTATAGAAGTCAGGTCGGACTGCATTGGCACACGGCATGCATGGCAAACTGGCAGGTATGTGTAAAAGGAAGAGAGGAGTAGTTTGATGGGACGTGTGCTAAAGGCTGGACACTGTCCTGGGTGGTGTACTGGCCAGCATATCCATTTCCAATAATTCTCCAGATCGTGATAGTTTTGATCAATTGTGATTAGTTGGCTGTATCTCATAGCACTAGGAAAACACCATGCCAGGATACTTGGCAGTTTCTGTGTGTGTGTGCGTGTGTGTGTGTGTGTGTGTGTGTGTGTGTGAGAGAGAGAGAGAGAGAGAGAGAGTGTGTGTGTGGGGGGGGTGGTGCCCGTGTGTTTGGTTGTGTGTGCGCGCGTCTGTGTGTGTGTGTGTGTGTGTGTGTGTGTGTGTGTGTATACCTCACCCTCCCCTACACCCACCCACAGTACACCTACCTGCATGACTACTGGCATTTGCAGCAGAGGTGGAGTTCTGCGTGTTGATACGAGACAATCCGCTTGATGCGTTCGCTAGTCGCTGGTTCACTGGTTGACTACTGTCCGTTGCAATGTTATTAGCCGGCAAAGTATCAACACTTATGACTGCCGCTCCACTGCTACCGACTGCCTCTGGGCTCCGTTGTCTTCGTGTTAACGTGCCCTGGTTAGTCGGGGCTACAGAGGGCGTGAACTGTTCCATTCCAAAGTCATCCATGCTCAGTGGTCCTCCTCCTGAAGCAGGCGAAGTAGATGTCTGAAGCGATGCACCTGGCTGGAAATCTGCCATTCCAAACATATCGGTGGTGTTGGCTGGCGTGGCCATACTGCTGCCAGTGCTCTGTGCTGTCTGCTGCTGTAACTGTTGCCGCCTTTTGTTGGCATTCCTCTGCAATGTCGAAATGTGGATCTGCAGTTGTTCCTCCTGCTTGCGTAGCTGCTCTTGTTTGAAGCTGAGTATCTCCTGCTCTCTGAGCAGATCGGCTTGCTGCTGATCCAATTGTTGTTGAGCAAGTGTGTCCTGGTTTTGTCGTGGTGGACTGGTCGCTGGTGCTGCAGCTACCGAAACAGGGCGATGCGTGCTGACCGATCCGTCCGTCGTCACGTTGAATGGGAGATGACCGAACTGGTCCGGAACCGCAGCAGTTTGATATCTTTGCTGAGCGGTCGATGACGGTGCCGCTACCGCCGAAGATCCTGCACGAAATTCGTTGTCTCTCGCTCCAGCCGCCTGTAACAGCGCCTGCCGGGACGGAGCTTGACCAGCATGAAATGTTTCCCTGCGTTGAGGCTGACCAGGAGGCGGCTGCCGAGTGTTGGTGGTCGATTGTACTGGGATTGTTGCGACTGTTGCTACTGCTGCTCCGGGACCAAAACCATTTAGTGGCTGAATACCATGTCCCACAGCTGCGCTAAACGACGACGTCCTGCGCCGATCCGCAGCTGCTTGCTGCTCGTCGTCCTCTTGCCAAGGAGCCATGCCGAACGCATCGGTGCTGTTCACTGCAACAGGTGTGTCCGCTGGAGACTCGAAAGTATCGTGCGACGCGAACGGGTTCGTACTGCTGCGGCGCCATTGCTGGTTTGGTGGCAGCGGTGCTTTCTGCTGCTGCTGCTGCTGCTGCTGCAGGTGATTTCCAGCCGCACTCATTTCAGCCCTTCTTCGCGTTCCCGCACAGCCGGGACTGTTTTGCTATCACGATTGAGAAATTAATCATTCAAATAACAGGGGCTCTTCGCGACACCTGAGGACACACTTCCTGCCTGTTTGCGCATGCAAGATTAGTCAACTCACAGCTGATCTCGGCGGCGTATCCTGGAATAGCTACACGAAGAAGGAATATTTACACAAATTACAGGGGCCACACCGCAGTCATCTTGTCGGTCGCGCATTTTTCTGATCTGTCCTTTTGCTGCTGTTGTCTGGATCGTGTAAGGTGTTTAGTTGCAGTAGATCTGCCGAGTCTTTTTTAGTGTTTTCAAATCCACGTGTCAACGGCATTGTCTGGCACAGACCACGTTGCTCGCCCCAAGCTCTGAAGCTTCGAAGCCGCACAAAGACGTACATCTAGTAGTATGATCTACTTCGGCGCCGCTCACCAGGATCCGATCCGATTTCAAAGTATTTTGTGTTGTTTCCCTGGCATGGCAGACCATGGCAGACTGGGTCACTCCACCTCCTGTGTAGATTTACCAGGACTGGTGTATTGACAGCCTGTACTCGGCATGTCAGTATGTGAATGTACATACTATAAGTATAACTATAAGTCTGCATCAAGCATGATCGCCAAGTCCGTGTAGTACTAGACCGTAGTCGACTCTATGTCACTATGACTATGTTCATGATTGTGGAACGCCCCACGCATCACGTGCACGGCCATGATACCTCAGTCCTCAGTAATGTTACTGAGTCCGTGGTGCTATCCTTTATTGAAAACCCCAAGATTGTCCGGAAGAAAATACTATTGTTAGCCTGTTACTACTTGTTCACAAAGAACGAAACAGCATGCTGTCCGCAGATTGAGTATTGTTACTACTTGTATGTGTGACACAACTGTTACTTACACAAACTGTCCTTGTATAGCGTGTGCAGTGCACTAAGTGTTACTGTACTTGCTATCGGTAACTTACTTACTTGTTCCACTGCCCCCGGTACGCGAGGCCAGTGGCAATGGCTGAATGTGCCTTGCACTTCTTGCTGTGTGCATTTTGGTGTGAATCCTGTAGTGCATGCCGGTCTTGTCCTCTGTGGTTGTGGACTTGCAGTAACCAGACCAGCACAAACCATTAAGCGGCACGATACCATGGATACAGACCATGTTCCGATTAGAGTAGATTGTCATCGGACGGACATCCATGCAACTACTGACTGTAGGTTGGCGGTTTGCACTTGTAGCATAGAATACTGTGTACGCGGATGGACTAACAGAATTACCGCCAGACGAAGTTAGTGGCTTGACGAGTTTTGACTGTTTATATAGCGGCAAACGCAGACTCTCCGTGAGTCTCCGACTGACACAACAAGTGGGAACAGTATTTTAACCATCTACTTGTACATGTTAGGCCAGACAGCTGACTATACATTGAAACGTTCTATGCTCGCATGTACCTGAGACGCTGAGTCTACAGCGGCCACACTGTGCTTGTGGGCGTAGAGCTGTAGATCTACGGACACGGCTACTGGTGTACTAGCTGTGCTAGTAGTAGTACAGTGAAACCTCGTTAAAGGGGAAGTCCGGTGAAAAATTTAAATTTCACAGTCCGTAGAGTTCGGGGCGCTGAGTCGAATGGTCTTTGTCCGAGGAGGCTGCGGCTTATGGTTCGTCAGATACGCCCAATCGAACATGTGCGACTTTGAGCGCGCATCACCCAGATCCAGGTGATGACGTCACAGCGTGCAGCCAGGTAGCCACACCATCTAGTTGTGTACAAAAATGGCCATATTCGGAGCGCGTTCGATTGGGGAACCGTTTATCGCAGCTTCTTCGGACCAAGACCATTCGATTCAGTGTTACAAACACTACGTACCCTGTGATTTTCAGCTCGGTAAACCTGGAGGCTATACCGTATTTAGCCGTTTCCGAGTTGGACTTTTCCGTTAGCCCGTCTACATGGTCTATGCGCTCTGCGCTGCGTGCATGCAGTGCGTGCAGTGTGTTATCTAGCTGCCTGTAAGGCTGTAGTGCAGTCAACAAACTCATGTCACAACTGACACAAGACTCAGAAAACTAGTCAACACACGTAACGTTAAAGGGGAAGTATACCCTAAAATCAAATTTTCACCAGTTGTAGTCTTCGGGGTGCTGAGTCGAATGGTCTTGGTCCGAGGAAGCTGCGACGCTCCCTTCCTACTTGAATCCCAATCGAACTCGCGCACTTCCACCGAAACTGGGTGACTGCGCCCTACTAGATGGGGATTTGTATGCAAAATGTCACTAAAAGCGTCATTTCGTTCTTATAAAAGCACGGATGACCGCGATTGGCCCATATGTTGTAGTCTTTTGGACGCTGAGTCGACTGGTTTTGGTCCGAAAAGGCTGCGATGCAGCGTTCCTCCTTTATTCCCAATCGAACATGGTTGAAGAAGCGGTCACGTGCTCCTGGGTGCCCAAATCGCCTGGTCACCGCGCCAGCAGGCGACAACTTTCACACCAAGGTTCAACTCGAGTTCAACTCGAGTGACAGGACTGCACCCAAAAAAGGTCAAAACAGGCTGTAAGTTGTACCCTGCAGGCACGGTGACCAGGTGACTGGTGTACGCACGAGCACGTGACCGCTTGTTCAACCATGTTCGATTGGGAATAAAGGAGGAACGCTGCATCGCAGCCTTTTCGGACCAAAACCAGTCGACTCAGCGTCCAAAAGACTACAACATATGGGCCAATTGCGGTCATCCGTGCTTTTATAAGAACGAAATGGTGCTTTTAGTGACATTTTGCATACAAATCCCCATCTAGTAGGGCGCAGTCACCCAGTTTCGGTGGAAGTGCGCGAGTTCGATTGGGATTCAAGTAGGAAGGGAGCGTCTCAGCTTCCTCGGACCAATACCATTCGACTCAGCACCCCGAAGACTACAACTGGTGAAAATTTGATTTTAGGGTATACTTCCCCTTTAAAGGGGAAGTATACCCTAAAATCAAATTTTCACCAGTTGTAGTCTTCGGGGTGCTGAGTCGAATGGTCTTGGTCCGAGGAAGCTGAGACGCTCCCTTCCTACTTGAATCCCAATCGAACTCGCGCACTTCCACCGAAACTGGGTGACTGCGCCCTACTAGATGGGGATTTGTATGCAAAATGTCACTAAAAGCGCCATTTCGTTCTTATAAAAGCACGGATGACCGCCATTGGCCCATATGTTGTAGTCTTTTGGACGCTGAGTCGACTGGTTTTGGTCCGAAAAGGCTGCGATGCAGCGTTCCTCCTTTATTCCCAATCGAACATGGTTGAACAAGCGGTCACGTGCTCCTGCGTACACCAGTCACCTGGTCACCGTGCCTGCAGGGTACAACTTACTAGCCCGTTTGACCTTTTTTGGGTGCAGTCCTGTCACTCGAGTTGAACTCGAGTTGAACCTTGGTGTGAAAGTTGTCGCCTGCTGGCGCGGTGACCAGGTGATTTGGGCACCCAGGAGCACGTGACCGCTTCTTCAACCATGTTCGATTGGGAATAAAGGAGGAACGCTGCATCGCAGCCTTTTCGGACCAAAACCAGTCGACTCAGCGTCCAAAAGACTACAACATATGGGCCAATGGCGGTCATCCGTGCTTTTATAAGAACGAAATGGCGCTTTTAGTGATATTTTGCATACAAATCCCCATCTAGTAGGGCGCAGTCACCCAGTTTCGGTGGAAGTGCGCGAGTTCGATTGGGATTCAAGTAGGAAGGGAGCGTCTCAGCTTCCTCGGACCACGACCATTCGACTCAGCACCCCGAAGACTACAACTGGTGAAAATTTGATTTTAGGGTATACTTCCCCTTTAACGGACTTGTCATGTACTACACTCGTATCAGTACAGTCATGTAGTCAGAGAACGTGCGTTTCTCCTTGCCGGTGCCGGTGGTTGTGCTTTGAGAAAGAAAATTTTAGTTTTCCGCACCCGCGGCGCCTCATTATTTTATGCTACAGCGATGAGTGCACAACCGTGACAAGTGACAAAACAGCGAACAGCTCTCGGACCTAGAACTTTCAGATTCCATAGCGTTGCGAGCGAAGAGTCGTACCCGTGGTTCAAAGAGCCTGCACTGTTCTCCAATTGAGCAGTCCGAAATATTCCAAGTTCGCACCAAAACATCACCATGTGGCAGGCTACTGGAGTCTAAGCGAATCTAATCGGTATGGAACAACATTTAGAGCACTCGCATCACTCTTCTCCATTTTGGCGACCCTGCTCTCCAGCGATCTGATAATTACATCAGCCTCGTCTGCAATAGCTGCTGCTTCTTCATCAGTCGGAAACTCAGTAGCGCTCACTCTTGACCGGCCCGCGCGGCCATTTCTTCAGCTGACTACCGAGGTTCTCAGCCCCAGACCGAACTCATGAAGGTCAGCCATGGCTGCATCCTCACTCTCACAAGGAGTTACATGTCTTCGGGGTCGCTCGCACCACGCCAAATCATTTGAAATAGCACTGACACTATTGCTTTCACGCACTCCTTTTGACCTAGCTGCACGCTATGACGTTGCAGAGGGTGTGGCGCGGCCGCATGACGTCATGGCGCAGCCCCCGAAACTCAGTTTTTCAAACGGAAATATCTCAAGAACGCTTTGTCGGAGACACGTGGGACCAACACCATTCGACTCAGCGGCCGAAACTCTACCGACCCTGAAATTTAAATTTTTCACCGGACTTCCCCTTTAAGAAGAACACTGATAAGACAAATTTCGCTTTAAAAGAACTAGTGTTCATAGCTCTGTTGGATAAATCACTATGACTCACTGGGTATAAAATATGGATAAGAAGAACTCCCGTTATTACGAACAAATACCATCGGTCCCTTGGTGTTCGTCCTAAAGAGGTTTGACTGTACTTGTGTAATAGCAACAATCCGAACTAGCGCACACACTGCATGCACTGCATTGCTTTGTATTGCATTCAAGACTGACGTCATGCGCTTTGTTTTGCTGCGTAATCACAAATGGCACCAGCCCATTTTGCGGAAAAGAAAAACAAATCTTGCTTGCCCTGTTGTGCTCTTCCAGACAACGGATCGTGCTTCAGCAGTGTTTCTTTTCCCACCATCCCTCCCTATCCAACTTATTCACACCATCATTATAATTATCGTACCCACTAATCGGGTCCACTCTCACAACTGGTGTTATCTAGCTATTTGCTGCGGCTCTGCCTTGCGCTATATTACATCCATTTAGCATTGCAGCTCTACTTTGAGCTAACAGCAGCTCTACTTTGAGCTAACAGCAGCTCTACTTTGAGCTAAGCGCAGCTCTACTTTGAGCTAACAGCAGCTCTACTTTGAGCTAACCGCAGCTCTACTTTGAGCTAACAGCAGCTCTACTTTGAGCTAACAGC